CTTTTTAATTCAAAATATAAGAGAATTTAAAAATTTTAACAATAATTATAATCATTTAATTTTATTATTATATTTTGGCAAACAATATGACTGATAAATCATAATGAATTTTGAACTTTGAAATATGAAATATGAAATAATAAATTATAAGAAAATATCTTGTATTTCTTTTATTATAAAATATTTTTTTAGGTAATTATTTTTCCCATTAATATTACAAATAATAATTAAAAATAAAATTTTTTGATATTTTTAAGTATTATTTTGAAATTTAATTACAATTATAATATTTTGTTAGATAATTAATTAATTAATTATTTTCTTTTTATTTTCTTACACAATATTATAATTTCTTGTATATTATATTTTGTTTTTTATGGTTTTTGTTTTTTTATTTATTTATGGAATTTAATTACTGCTTAATGATTACAATTGGATTTAAATTATCTCACAAAAAAATTACTGTTATAAAAAATTTTTTTTTTTTTCTGTCAATTTTCTATCAGTAATGCATATCTATTTGAATTTTCTTCTTTTGCTTACATTTCATTTTTTTTTTTTACGATATATTCTAATTATAAACTATAATTGTGTAAATATAAATGCATTATGTAAAGGAATAAAAAGGAAAGAAATTATCTTCAAGTGATAATTCATCATTTCATTTTTTACCATGCTAAAAAAAAAGTTTTGCGTCGAAGTTTCTCTATTAACAATCTTAATAAATATTAATAAATTTTTTAAAATGAATAAATATTTTTTTATGAAATATTTATGTCAATATAGCGATTCAAAGTTCATTTGAACAATCTATCATTCGAATACTTTAAACATTTGCGATCATTGAATTTCAAATTGAATATTTAACAATCTATACTGTGCATAGTATATGTATGTACAAAAAATATTTATTTTAAAATTTATAATATGCCTAATTCTAAATTGAACATTATTTGAGCAACTTAACTTTGTATACGTAAATGTATTATTACATTTTTATCATTCAAATGTATTTTAATATATAAACAATCAGAATTAAAGATTATTTCGTAAAAACAAATTATTTCATAAAATTTTTCATTAGACGAAATATTTATATAAATTTGCGTTTCGTTATTAATTTTTGAATGATTTTCGAATATTTATATTGATATATTTTAAAAAGTTTTTTTTTCAACAATGTACCTCAAATATGAAATATGAAATTCATGTATATTCATCATGAACATGTATCGTTGTTAATCGATGATGAAAATTCATTTGAACGATAATTGTTGTTGATGATAATAATAGAAAAGAGAAAATATTTAATTTGTGAAAAATTAGTTCAACAATGTCGAAAAGGAATCTATTTTTGCTCGAAATGAATCTTTATTTCGTTATTGAGAGACGCGACCGCGGAATACTTGACTTATTAACGATTTAGTCGATAATGCTGTTATACAATGCGCGTATAATGAAGTGAAAAAGGAAAGAAGAAAAGAAGAGGAAAAATTATAATCTTGAAAACAAGTCGAATCTCGAAGATTTCAATGACTTAGACACACGGCATTGTAATATTAAAAAAGTTTTGATCGTACTATTGTTATCAGTCATTGATATACTATTTGACAGAGCGTATATACAACCATTATTTTTCTGCTTGCTATATATACAATCGTATTTCTGCTTGATATATTTCACGTGATTGTGTAAATAAACATCTTTTTTACTATGTTTTAACGATAATACGGATTATAATACATAACAAATATTTACTTATGAATATTAAAATAAATATAAAATGTTTTTTAAATTTCTAATAATTTTTAAAATCAAATTTTTTTGTTGTTATTTTTATTATTATATGCATTTATGATAGAGATAGAATAGTTTAATATTTGATGATATTCAAGAAAAAAGTATTAGATTAAGGACGATCTTAAAAGTTCGAAATTGAAAAGCAATTTCCAATAAGTTCTTTCTTTTCACGGTAGAGAAGTTAAGTTCATCCCTAATGAAACATTTCGAAGAGAAATTTAATGAATTCCACTTTAAACTCAATGTGAAATCGTTAATTTTATCGGTTGATATCTAGTTCAATGCGCTCCTTACAGTAAAAATTTGAAAAGAAACATAGTGAAACCTTCCATTGAGTTTCTCGGATATATTTCTATATAAATATGTTGTCTTCTTTTCGTTCACGACATTATTAAATAATATTCAATATTTACATTATAAATAATGAAGATTATAACTTTCAAAACTCACTTCATAAATATTTGTATAGATTATATTTGACTCTATTAAGCATTCACAAATAAAGGGAGATGTACTTATATCTTATTAATTCAATTAAACAGGAATTTGAATTAGAATAAGTACATATTTAAAATTTGAAAATTCAAAGTTAAAAATTTGAATTGATATTCAAATAACTTGATATTTGAAAATTTAAGAATTCAAATACTTTTCTCGTGTCATGATATTATAAAATTAAAAAAATAGATAATTTAAATGTTTCTACTCTCTATCATATAAAAATATGAAAATAATCTTTGAATAATGCATTCAAGAATTACAAGCATTTTCTTTAAATATCATCTTCCGGCCTTGAATAGATCAAGCGCATCGTAAATTTGTACGAATTACGTAAATAATTTGTCGAAATGAATTGATGCACTTTGTAAAATGCTTTTAAATAGCTAACGACCTTGCATTTTAAATTCAAAAAGAAAAATAATAAATAATATTCAAAGTATAAATTACATTTAAAAAATATATATTTAATCGAGTAATTAAAAATGAATTATAATAAACTTTCATTAATGCCAAAATGATTAGAAATATGAAAGATCAAACGATCAAAAGAAAATAATAATA